TGTGTGTGTGTGTGTGTGTGTGTGTGTGTGTGTGTGTGTGTGTGTGTGTGTGTGTTCTCCTAATATAATTGGTATTTAGCTGTTTGCACATCATTGTCTTCTGGACACATTGCTCAACTCATTAAAGCAGAATTCATATCTTTGCTGTTTTTCAAATTAATTTTCTGATTTCTCCAACGTCTCATATTCAGAACAGCATCCTTCTGTCTGGAGCTCAGCAGATGATGTGATATCTTTAATAAAATCCAAGTCGGCGCAGAACAAACAAAAACTCTGCCTCTAAATATTCAACACGTCTGAAATGTTTCTGTCTCCACAGCGACCGATGAGCTCAGATTAATGGTGAAACTGGTGCGCCGTCGTCACTACCTGCCGGTCCTGTTTGGGTCCAAATCTGCTGAGCTTCTACCTCAAGTTATGAATTATTAAGACTTCAACAAATTCACCTTTTTCTCTGTAACAAAGACGGTGAAGCTGCAGCACAGACGTTATGTAAAAAGTCCTCTCTGCTGCAGAGAAGCAGCTTATTTCGCAGAAACTGTAAGGCTGCAAGTGATCAGAATGATTTTCCTTCAGGACACATCTGCCGATAAACACAAGTGTGTTGAAAAAAAATTACATTTTGTTATTTCTTAAAAAGTAAGACCAAATAGGAGATTTAATTTTAACACGACTCATTCTTTTCTGAAGGGAGATGAAGGAGAAACTGTTTTAGAGGTTTTGGAGAAAATCACATTTTCTGACATAAAAACTTTTGTCAAATGAGTTTAAATACTTACATGACAAACTATTTTTTAAAATAAATTATGTCAGCATGTTCTTCTCAACTGATTTAAGTAAATGCAAAAGATTTTTTATGTTAATTTATGGTAATGTGAATTAAGTGTTTTATATTTACTCGATTCATTTGAGTGGAACCAGTTGACATAATTTATTTAAGTAAATCCAATGCAATTGTTTTTTGAGTTGTTACTGTCATCATTGGGATACGTTCAGTTTTATCAGGCATCAACATTTCCAATCCATGTTGATTCAGTTGTAAAGTTTTGTTGAGTAAAACTGATAAAAAGCTGTTTTTACTATTATTCTTCAACATCTACATGTTCTGAGTCTTTAGTATAAAAATATATATTTAAAAAAAGAAAAAGCTTTCTTTGGTAGATTTTAGCTTGATGACATCTTTGTTTGCAAACTAAAATCCAAAATTTTGAAATTTGCTGCTGTTGATTCTGAGGTCTAAGAAAATATTAATACACTGAAATATCGCGATATTTGATTTTCCGATACTGTATCGATTTTTAATTCAGACTTAATAGATGGACGTTGTAAGAAGAAATTTAATCAGATTTCATGCACGCGGTGAGTTTAAAAAAATCTTTTGGAGAAAAAAATGGTGATGTGTCACCTTGCATACAGTATCTCAATATATCGCGATATATGGCAATATGTCACGATATATCGTATTGTGACCCCTGATTTGTATTATTTCACCAAATTCTTGCAATACACTTTTTTAGTTGTTAAATTATGAGAAAGGTTTCTCTGGAAATAAAGCATTGATTTAGCCACATAAAACCCCATCCATCCATCATCTACATCTGCTTCTTCCTTTCAGGGTCACTGGCGCATATCCAGCAGTCACAGTGTGAGGGGCGGGGTGCACCCTGGACAGGTGGCAAGTCCATCACAGGGACACACAAACAAGACAAACAACCATTCACTCTTTCACTCACACCTAGGGATAGTTTAGAGTTACCAATTAGCCTAACAGTCATGTTTTTAGTGTGTGGGAGGAAGCCAGAGTACCCGGAGAAAACCCACACATGCACGGAGAGAACGTGCAAACACATAAAACTGTTCTTCATGTTATTAAACATTTCTAACAAAAATACATAAATAATACAGGGTACGTTGTTTAAGGATATTTATGTTGGTTTCTTGATGAGTTCTGCAGAAGCAGTTCCTGCACGACTTCAACTGTCCAGTAGGGGGCAGCAGCAGATTTTTCAAAGCAGGATGGATTTATGTTTCTGTCATTAAAGTTTCTTCTGTGCAGCTAAAGTTATCTTGAAACATGCTTTGATAAGCGTGCCCTTGAGAATGACGAGTTGTGCACAAAAAAAGATGAGTTTAAATTAAATTTTGATTCTAAACAACTAAATAGAAACAGCTGATATGTTGGGTTTGCCAGCTGCTGTGGAACACAGCTGCAGCAAAGGAAAGAATCTCATTTTGTCTGTGATACAACATCTCATTCCAACATTCCTCCGGCGTCCACTGAAAATAGTTCCAGGGTTTGGAGGCTGCTTTGCAGCGTGTGGAGAGGCTGGTGCTGTGACAGCGCGGGGTCTCAGCAGCAGTGTGGGAGGGCAAATTTTGAAGGCAGCCAGCTCTGATTAAACACTGGGATTAAGCTCTCCGATGGGTGGAGAGTGTGATGGCATGGCTGTCTCCAGGGCGATTCCTGTGTTTACTCGGCTATTATTATCTAATCAAACCACCACACATCCTCTGTCACACGAAGACAACAAGCGTGGTGAGTCAGAGGAGGCTTAAAAAGATGAATACATGAATCCAGAGACATTTTATTAGAGATCACCTGTTGGTAAGAATGTAAAATAAATGAGCTCATTAACTGGGTTTATTTCAGCTTTTCTTATTAACATGTTGACAAATACAAAATGTGAGATACTAATTATAGGTTAGAGTTTTATTCAGAGACATTTCAGCTTTTTAAAGTGAAAAAGAGCAAAGTTTGGGTGCATTTAACAGGCAGCATAAAGAAAAAACCTGCAGTGATTGTTTCAGAACTTGTTGCTAATGCTTCTGCAGTGGAAGATAAAGTTGTGCACGTTTGCTCCAGGTACAATAGTTTATATTTCAGGACACGCTAACCACCGTTTGAGGAAAAAAAGTCCATTTTTTGTTTCTTATACGTGATGTTTTTTCACCATTTTTCATGYCTTTGTTCCTTTGAACTCTGTGATGTCATTTCAACCTGGAGAAAAGCTGCTGTTAAGGAGTTTATTTGACATGTTTTGGCACTTGTTGTCCCAAGGCACTGCACAGAAATAAGAGTGATCTTTGTAACTGTCTCCCATCCTGAGCAGCACATTGGTGACAGTGGAGAGGAAAAACTCCCTTTTAACAGGAAGAAACCTCCAGCAGAACCAGTATCAGGACGGGCGGCCATCTGTCTCGACTGGCTGGGTTTGTGGGGACAGGAAAGGGAAATGGAAAAGGCAGAAGGGCTGCTCCAGGTGTATGAGTTGAGAGAATGAGGCTGGAGAAGGAGAGGAGGTTGAAGCTCTGGTGGGCAGGAGGAGCCGTGGATGGAGGGCCGACTTGTCGCAGGGCCAGAGGTCTACAAAGTACTTGAAAAAAATAACTACCGTATTTATTCAAGTATAATACGTAAAATTTAATCTATAAAATCATGCATAAAGTTGGGGGGTAGTACTATACTCGGATAAATATTTTTGCTGATGTATTTTAACTGAAATATCGGCCTCGTTCACAAAATGCCTGAGGCCAGAAATGAAACCGGTAAAAAGCGGTTGAAGTAAGCTTACCTCTGACACTCCTTTGAGCCTCCAAGCGAGATAGTAACAGATCAAAGCAGGCAACATGATGTGGGGAAAAAAAAGAAAAAGAAAAAAAGGTCCTACAGCTAAATTATGATAATGAACTAATTATATAAATGTGCTACAGGGCCGCTCCTGGAACAACAACAAACACGTGGTCGTCTGTAATGGCTGCCGTCTACCGGTGTTCTGTAAAAGTTGGTCTACCTGAAAAAAGTTTCCCCACCAGAGGGGGCGCTCGAGAGACACAGAGGATGAGATTGTTGTTGAGTGGGATTCTGGTGCCTTTATCACAGAGGAGGAATACCAGAAACTTTTAATGATGCTGATGTTGGTGAGCCTGATTTTGAAGGCTTTGATTCAGCTTCATCCACACTTGTTAGAGCCACATAGCTCTCTATCTGTTTGTTGTATCACACCAGTTAACAAATGAGCATTGATAGCTTTTGTTGTAGTTACACATTTGTTGTTGTGTACCTTTTAGTACATATGTTGTTAAAATAAAATTAAAAACTGATACAACAGTCAATTGATAATTTTACTGAAACATATATAAAGACTACAAAGGCTGAAAAATCCTGAAATCCATATGAAATTAGAGGTATTATGAGAACTAAATTTTTTATGCTTTTTGGGCTAAAAATAGTGGGGGTCGTATTATACATGAGATCGTATTATACACGAAAAAATACGGTAGTTGATTAGTTGTTTTTGTCACGTCGTCTGTTTTTATTTATTTTTTATTTTTATTTATTTACCATTATTTATGTTTATGGTTCCTGTGAGCGCAGCTCCTGCTTCAACTCCAGTGCTCGTCTCATCTCACCTGCTCACACCTGAGAATGTCGCTGTTAAGTTTCCATAGCTATTTAAAATAATGACCCATAAAACTTAAAAGCTTAATCACATGTATTCCTAATATTAATACATGTGATCATAAAAAAATTAATGAAACTGCAAGTAGTCTTTTAAATAAACATCTAATGTACAAATAACTCAAAGTAGCAGCCTCTCCTCCCAGCATGAGGGGCTGTTCACCTGCCCTGGTGCAAGTCCAAAATAACCTTGGTTAAAGTGACATTCAAGTGCATAAACGTAGAAGCCTAAAAGAGATGAAATAGGATGGATTATTACTATAATCCAGTGATTTAATATGATGACACTTAATGCATTAGCTATAGCTATCATTTTGTTGTATGTGAATGTGTTAGTTTTTTTAAATGAAATTAATAAATTATATATTAAAAAAAAGATCTATGAGGCATCACCGAAAGTTTCAATCAAAAATGAATCCAGCTATTTGTTTGACTTCAGAAACTTAAGTGGTCTCAGAAGTTGTTACTCGACACTAGCCGGCCCACCTTTTCAGGAATTGGCAYGTTTCTGCCAAAATACCGTCCAAGCCTAATGCTATTTTTGCTGTTGTCATGGTAYATTTCATAATTTTTTGTCTCATCAGGGATCAGTTCAGCTTCAGTCTCTGGCTCTTCTGCTTTGTCCAAATGTCTGAGCAGCAGCTCAACTCTGGGYAGCATGGACACCGGAGCCGTAGAGCCCATCTCAGGTCTGTAAGACTTTCTTTACTTTAATTTTCCAACATATTTATGTTTAGTTTATACACATCTCATGCATTCAAATGTTTTATGTAGTCTAATCTCAAATTAATGCAAAAAAATGTTTTGTTTTATGTCTGTGATCTCAATAAATCTCCTCCTCTTTAGGGGAAAAACGCAAACTGCCGGAGGCTTTGACTCTAGAAGATGCGAAGCGGATTCGCGTGATGGGAGACATTCCCATGGAGCTGGTTAACGAAGTCATGATGACTATCACTGACCCCGCTGCTATGCTCGGACCAGAGGTCRGTTCTTTTAAGCTAAATGGAGAAATATGCCTTTTTTTATGGTTACATTTGAACTCACCAGTCTCAGGTGTAAGAAAATATCGATACACTGAAATATCGTGATATTTCATTTCCCGTTACTGTATCAATATTCTAAAGCCCTGTATTGATTTTTTTATTAAGGTTTAAAATGTCAACTTTCCTGCCAGCCATTCATTTTTGTGTTGTAGTTCAGCCTCTGATCACTAGTTGGCAGCAGTCAGCCAGCCATTTGGCTCCTCTACCTCTTGAGTGCCAGAGAACAAGGGTAGCATTAGCATTACAAATAAACATTAGCTTCATGCTCCGATAGCTGAATCTGAGCGGAAAAGACTGACACCCTCTCAAAAAATCGCAATATATCGCAATATATCGCCTTGCTTACAGTATCACAATATATCGGGATATATCATATTGTGACCCCTCTGTCATAATATGTATCGTATCGCCAAATTCTTGCCAATACACAGCCCTACTCATGGGTGACTGAACATCCTGGTCTTTTCTACACAAAAGATGGAAAATGTTTAACTTGACTGAAATGTTTCAGTTTTTTAATAATTCAACAGGGTTCTGGTAAATAAATAGATAATATGTTGCATTTATATGAAAGTTTTGTTTCATGCCTGTGTATAAAGCAGATTATAACCCTTACCCCTACTCCGTATGTTTGGAGAACATGGCTTCAACCTCTTGAGCCCCATGCCCCCGGTACCTGGGGAAAACCATCTTTYTCCGTTTTCTATTTCTTTAAAMTTCTTTTAACTAAGATCTGTCAGTTGAACCTGAACATGTTTGGTATCAAAAGAAACCTAAGAATGTTGGCTAAAAGCTCATGGAAACTATTTTTACATTCACCAAACACAGTTCAAACGTCAAGCAGTTGAATCAGAAATTAAACAAACTGTACAAAATGGCATCATTGCATGTTTGTAAATACATTCAAACAAATCTGTAAAGAAAATTTTTGACAATTTTTTAAAAGCAAGCCAAAGTAGATACCTAAAGTGTGTTGAAAGTTCTATTTTACTTGATTTTGAGTGAATATGATCCAACTAGAGGTAGATATAATTTCTCATTATTTTATGGGGACAAATAAATGTTTGGATAATTTTTCAAAAGAACAAACATTCAATAACAARTGTTTTCAGGCAGATAAGAAAAAGAAATTACTTTTGGACGGAAAAGGGTTAGATTAACCTAAACTTAGGATATCTTAACATTTATTAATGGTACCATCATGGTCTGTCCTGTGTAACATGACAAAACTCTAAATTATTTCTTTACTAAAACCTCTGTAACTTTGCTCCAGTTCATTTTAGCAGAGTGAATCTTTGCACAGGTAATGTCCACAAATTGATTTATGGTTTCCAAGAGTTTTTAGCCTGATTCATTATGGTTTTAAATAGGTTATATACAGTCTAATGAAACAATTATTCAAGTGAGAGTGAAATATACAGTATATATATTATGTTTCATCCCCAATATATCTAAAACCACAGCAGCTGTAATCTCCCAAGTGTTAGCTTTATTTGATACCAAGTTTATTTAAGTAGYGTATGCTGAGATATACTCAGTTACATTTTGGCATGGTATTTTGAGCAAAAACATCAAGAAAACCTCTTTGAGGCTTAAGAGGTTAAATCAGTTATTTATGATGAAGATACATATATCCTCGTGTCTAACCATTGGTTTCTGTTGGTAGACTAATTTGCTGACACCCAACGCTGCACGAGATGAGACTGCCAGGCTGGAGGAGAGACGGGGCATCATAGAGTTCCACGTCATCGGAAACTCCCTCTCCCAGAAGTCSAACAAGAAGATCCTGATGTGGTTGGTGGGCCTCCAGAACGTCTTTTCTCAYCAGTTACCTCGCATGCCCAAAGAGTACATCACCCGGCTGGTGTTCGACCCGTAAGTGGGGGGTCCTGTTTAATCACACGACATCGCCCCAACCTGTCCTGACCACCCGTGTGTTCACAGGAAGCACAAAACCCTCGCCCTCATTAAAGACGGCCGTGTCATCGGAGGCATCTGTTTTAGGATGTTTCCCACTCAGGGCTTCACCGAGATCGTCTTCTGCGCCGTCACATCCAATGAGCAAGTTAAGGTACTTAGATCTTCATAGGTTCACATAATGGCCTGGTTACGTATTCATCATGTCTGTCTGGTCTCTGGCTCAAGGGTTACGGCACCCACCTGATGAACCACCTGAAGGAGTACCACATTAAACACAACATTCTTTATTTCCTCACGTACGCTGACGAGTATGCCATCGGCTACTTCAAGAAGCAGGTAGACACATTGTTAGGTTTCCTCCGTCCACTCCTGCCTTTTTATCCTGCTAACGTGTTTTTTTTTTAAATCTCTGCAGGGATTTTCCAAAGACATTAAAGTGCCCAAGAGTCGATATCTGGGGTACATCAAAGACTACGAAGGAGCGACCCTCATGGAGTGTGAGCTGAACCCGAGAATCCCTTACACCGAGCTGTCTCACATCATTAAGAGACAGAAGGAGGTACGTATGTATGAGATAACCCGCAAATAATCTGCTCTAGTTGGCATGATAAGTTTTTTTTTCTTCGTATTTTTGTAGATTATTAAGAAGCTGATTGAGAAAAAACAGAATCAGATCAGGAAGGTTTACCCGGGTCTCACCTGCTTCAAAGAAGGAGTCCGGCAGATCCCAGTAGAGAGCATCCCAGGAATAAGTGAGTTTTAGAAAAACTGAGTCCTATTTTTAAATTAGTCTTTATTGTTTTACTTACAAGATTTATGTTTTTTTTATTTTTTTCAGGAGAGACGGGCTGGAAACCCACTAACAAAGATAAAGGGTAAATGCTTGTTCTGTTTTCTTTTCCCTTTCAACTTTTTATTTTTCAGTTTTGTTTTTTACACCATACAAAGAAAAAGGGGGATAAAAGAAACAAGAAATAAAATATAAGATATAATAAATAAAATGAAGAATTTCTTTGGTACATATCACAGCAAGTTGTAGGATGTGCAGAAACCCATTTTTCCCTCTACGCTGTTGTAAATGGAGGTTATGTGTCATAACCTGCATTGTTCTTCTGTGTGAGGGTCACAGGAGTTTTCTGAGCCAACATTTTGTGATAGCTTTGCTCGCAACAAGAATAACTCTGAATACATCACTTTGACACTGTCCCTTTGGGGACACACTAAGAAACAAGGTAGAAAATGACAACTCCACTAGAATATCTAACATATGGTAGATTAAATAAATTCTTATTAACCAGAATGTGACCAGAATATGTGAATTGGATCTGCCTGGTTAGATCCACGCTCCCTCCAGCAGGAGGACTGCACAGCCGTTACCTCTGATTGGTGGTATTACTGGTGTAATAAAAAACAGGTCAAACTTATTACGATTAATGCTGCCAGGTAGGGGTGCACGGTAGTTATCAGCCCGATATCAAGTGATTATGATGTCATACTTATCAGTCCGATATAACAAACAGAACCGATAATATACAGTGGTTTGCAAAAGTATTCATACCCCTTGAACTTTTCCATATTTTGTCACATTACAACCACAAACATAAATATAT